AAAAAAAAAATGCTTTAACAATCAATATAGCAAAAATGGTAACTTCATGAACATTTTATAGTTCTTTTAGTAATGTAGCCAGAATAACAACAATTACCTATTTCTCAAGAATCAAGATACACAGGCATTGTTATGTATATTTAAATATCAAACATAGTCAGTCGGCCAATTCCACGAGGATAGTCAACGGTCTTTGCTGTCTCTCGCATTGCCATCCCATGGAAATAAAAATATAATGTGCAATACGAATAACGCTAGTTAATTTTTTATTTTTAAAAAAATAAAAAAATAAATTTATCATACCTTTATCAATATAATCAGCTTCATTTTTATTTTCTTTTTGGTCTAAATTGTAGCTGCCTCGCAGGGAAGAATTATCAACTAATCAAGATCTAGACTCTTCTTCATGCTTTCGTAAACTAGATACGTAATGCTTGCTGCTGGTACAACTTTAAGAAGATTAGGAAAAAGTCCTTTATAGAAGCCCCTAAAACCTTCGTGCCGAAATGTTCTCCAGAATACGTCTGACATGCTCCTGTAAGCAGCATCTGTATTTGTATGTTGCGCTTGCATTCTGAGAACAAACCATTGTCAGCATTACAGGAAGTAAGTAATATCACTTGCATGACGGGAAGTTCTTCAAAGAGGATGAGCATGTTTGGCTAAAAGCTTAAAAAAGTTGAAGTTATTTAAGAGTAACTTGTAGTTTCCATATTTTGCATGACTTATTTTTTCTCACTTTTAAACAAAAAATGTAACTTATTTAGAAAGTATAGTTAACTTGCACCGTATAAAATCATTCATTTAAAAACTTAGTTGCATTTTAAGCGAGCTGTTTAAGCTTTAGCCAAACAGGCTTATGTAAACTATTTACTTTGTTCTTACAACCTGCAGTGGGTAAACACAGGTGGCTCCAACAGCTCCTGAAATTGATCCACAACTGAGTTGCACAAGAGGACCGGGTTCTGCATAGAATATAAACTTTTAACAATCCCAAGAATCATGCTGTGTCTGACAGATAATGACAGACTAGTGGGCCAAGTATTTATGTACTGAAAAATGTATACGATCATACCACTTTCACGGAGAATATATTTCTTGGATACATCTTTCATGGTTTCGTACATGGTTAAGTCAATGCCTGCATAAGGGATCATTCCCAAAACAGATGGTAGCAGTCCTCGATAAAAGGCCCGAGGTCCCTCTTGAATCCATATATCTCTTGACAATTTCCACAAGGTCGGAACATTTCCACCTTCACACACGCAGGTCTGTAATCGAGTTTTCACTAGATCCATTGGATAAATAGAGGTTTGTGCCACAGCACCAGCCAAACCACCTGCAATTAGTCGTCCTACAGTTCCTACATCACCGCGTTTTTCTCCTTCAGTACCACCGATAACATTCTTCAACATTTCAAATGTATAAAACTTAATGGCACTTTCCGGTGCAACCTTCAACACATTTATTCCGTTACCCCGGAAAAATCCCAAAAAACCCCCTTCCTTCCAAATGCTTTTAACTGCAGGAAAAATGCAAGCACGTGTAGTCTGAACTTGTAAAACCACCTTGAGACGATCAAGAGGCGCAGTTGCAGTACGAGATGCGGCTCCAGCAACTCCGCCTGCAATCAAATATTTTGTTGCATGAACATGTTTGCTGATGCCTTCAGGAATTACAGCCTGTTCACCAATATCAACAAGATATACTTTTTCCCAATACCGATAAATGTTTTCAATGGTAGCCTCATGCGGATAGAGAAAAAGAAAATCTCTCCATTCTTCAAAAGTTATAATTCCATCATTGTCTTTATCAACATGCTCAACAAAACTAGCAAGTTCTTCACCATCAATTTCTATCCCTGCAAAAGGGAACTGCTGTGGCTTATAAGAAGAAGATAACTCATAATAGGAATTAATAACTGCGAAATAATTCCATCCCATGAAGTAAAATTTCAAAACTAACATTAGAATTCATCAAAAGACAAATGAAAATTCTGACAGTATCTAATGCCATTTCATCAAGGAACTAATGCAGATAGTTGGCCCTACAAGGAATCATAGAAACAGAAGTAGTTTGGAAGATTTCAGATAATTTAGGATTTTAGAACAGAATTAAAACCTGTGAGAATGATCTCTGTTTTTACGAGCATGAAATGAGGCCCCAGCTTGACTTGAGACCAAGACTCCTTATACGAAAAAGGCCTTGTTCTTTGGAAGATCAATCTCGTGTCTGCATGGTTCCATTCTGGTCGACTAATCTGGAGCCAATGAAAGGCATCAACATAAGGTTATCCAAGGGATCCCGATCATAGGTTAAATACAATCCCTTCGCTTCGCGTCATGCTAGAAAATCGCAAGTCAAAAAAAGAAGCGTCTGGGAGGGCTATGGCTTGGTTGGAACGAACTATGTAACCGCCTGTGCTCCGAGGCTGCTTTTGACGCTGACACAGCATACTCATAGTGCAAGTCCCACTTGTATATTGTATTAGGCCGAAGAAGCATCAATTCGAAGTTCTTCCTGGAAGTTACAATCTCGTTGACTATGACAAGAGTCGCGTATATAAAGAGACTCGTGACTATGGCAGGTATTCTTATTTGGAACTAAATAATCCTCCCACCATGATATGGTCGATTTTGTAGTAAGAATATTAAAATAAGATACAGGCTCGTTCAACGGCGCCTTGACCTCCATAGACAGATTTTTGAGGAAAACTAAAACTCCAAAATGAAAACTATGTTTGCAACCAAAATAATCTGATGTTATTTTCATTGATCGTTGTGTTTATATACAACACAACTAGACCCAAAACTAAAGTTATTGCTCCATGATTCCCAATATCCCTCCGGAAAAAATGATAATACATGTGTAAAACTCATGTACGAGAAAATGAGGTCTTGTATCTCCAACAACCCACTCCAACTAGTTTGACTAATTCAAAATATAACTAAAACATAAAGCTACAAATGGAAATATAAAATAAACAAAACAAGAAATATATGGAAGTATCATTCCATCTCCCTTAAAGACACTTGTCCTCAATTGTGAACTTTGACATCAACTTTTCATCTTTTTTCAACGCTCCAATCTATGATTAAGTACAATGAAAGCTTGATCTGTTTTGATTAAGCATCTTATTAAAAATTAGTAGAATAGGAGAGCATGCATCATCACTCGATGATGAGAAGAAGAAAAAAGGAAGTAAAGAGACCAAGACTATCCTTCTGCCCCTATTGATTCTTTATTTCTTATGATCTGAGCGTAATGACGGCAAACATAGGAATATCCAGATGAATGCCTCAAGAGTGGTCTGGTAGGTGGAGGGGCTAATTAAGCTGATGGCAATTGTGGATTGATGACAAAAGAGCATTGGAAAAGGATATGCAAATGTAACAGTAAAATTTGGGATTGGAAGGCTCATGGCAGAATGTTATATATTCTCTCCCTAGACTAAAAAGTGGGTTAGACCAGGGGGTGTAAAACTAAATACAGATGGAGGCTATAAATCCTCCCTTGGGCAAGTTGCAGGAGGGGCATTGTTGATATCATGAAGGATGGCCTGTTGTTGCTTTCCATGAATTCTATGGGGGCTGCAATAGCTTTTCT